ACGCGGAAGGTGGCGCTGCTGTCAGTACGTCAACTACTAAACGGCTTGACAGATTGAGTTGAAATTTTCAATACGCAAACCCAAAAAAAAAAAGAAACTGAGAATGCAACTATGTGTGAATATATGATAGTAGTTATTAGTAAGCACCTAGATACAAGAAAAAAAAACAAGAAAATTTGTACTGTAAAAAGACTGCAACAAATGTCTCATTTTTTTTAAATGGGTAGGTACACCAAACGTGCGAAGCCGGACCGAACAGCTAGTAGAAAATATAGTGGAGCCTGTCAGAGTTCTATACTATGACTTCGTAGAAGTGTATTCACTGAGAAATATCCATGGTATATTTACAGTGTGTCTCACTTCTATTGGGAACACCAATGTATCTTTCGTAATTGTTTAATTAGGATTGGGAAATTTGCATGAGCAGGAGATATAATGAGAATACACACTATAGCCAAGTGGTGATCACCAACAGCTATGGAATCACCCACATTTCCGTAAAATGATATTAGGAGGCAAGATAAGTTGAAAATCCCTTCGGATTCGAAATCAGGACGTCTAATTCACTAACTTTTTTTTCATCGCTTGGAGCGCACGAAACGGAATCCCTATGAAGTTCAAAGAACATCGTGCGTTCCTAAGGAGAATAGGGACAGAAGGAAGGTATATTGGGTTTTTTTTTGAACTTCTGGAGATTATAATTATGTTAAATACTGTCTGTAGGTTAATCGAGGAGGTGGTACATTCATTATTCCAAATTTTTGGAAATTTTCTCTCCTCGTTTCTAAAACATAAAAATATGAATATTATTTCAATATACGTGTAGTAAGGACAAATCAGATGATTTGCCCCAAAATGTCACTGCGTTTAAAGAATTTTCCTATCAGAGAGCCTGATTTGTCCTTACTACACGTATATTGAAATAATATTCATATTTTTATTTTTCAGAAACGAGGAATAATAAGATTATATGTTGTTGGGAATACTTCCTCAGGCAATGAATTCCAGAGCCTAGCCATTCTATGGATGAAGGAAGTTTGATAATGTGCTGTTCGACATCTTTCGAGGTTGACAACGAAAGGATGTGTTGACTGGGCTGGTCTAGTTTGTCTGACTGGGCTTATCTAGTTTGTCTGACTGGTATTGCTAGTGAAGGGATGATAGCAGAGATTTCCGAAGAACATTTCCCGTGGAGGTATCGATAGAAAAATGAAAGGTAGCCGACCTTTCTACGGTGTTCCAGAGTGAGTAAGTGTGGCGTCACCCACCAGGCGAATGGCTCTTCTATGGATGTAATCTAATATGTGAGAACAGTATTCTAGAACAGGCCATATCTGCGCTTTGCAGATCATGAGAAGCTGTTAAGGTGTAAAGTAGCTTTTCGCACGGAACAAGAATCCGAGTTTTTGTGGAGCAGCTTTTGCGATGGATCGGACATGATTATCCCATGAAAGAGTGTTGCTGATGGAAATACCGAGCATAGGTGGGGATGGTGGGGATGGTGGTTCCAGACATTCCAATATCGGGCATACTGAGTTCCGCCTTTCTAGAAAGAACACAGGCTTGAGTTTTGGAGGCGTTGAATTCAACTAGGTAATTGGTTCCCCAGGATGTGATTTCAGCAAGGTCTTCATTGACAGCATTGACCTGCCTGCGCCGTGAGTTCTTAGTTTCCTGGGAAGAAATGGGAATTCTGGAAGAGAACGCAGTATGGAGGGTACTATCATCTGCAAAGTTGTGAATGGGGCAAGTTGTTACCCCCAACAGAACATTGACATGAAGAAGGAATAATGTTGGTGTCAAAATTGATCCTTGTGGAACGCCGGAATTGATGCCACTGGTATCAGACGATACACCGTCGACCACTACATGAAGCGATCTGCCTGAAAGAAAACTCGATAAGAGATGGCATAGCTGAGGTGGTGAGCCGTATGATGGTAGTTTGTGGAGGAGTCCTTCGTGCCAAACACGGTCAAATGCTTTCGATATATTCAACGCGACAGTTAGAGATTCCCTGTGTTTTTCTCATGAAGCTTGCCATAAATGGGTGACGTAGGCAAGTAGATCTCTAGTAGATCTTCGGTGGCGAAAGCCGTATTGTCTATCATTGATGATTCCTGAGCTCTCCAGATATTCATATTTTCCTTAAAAAATGTTCAGTTCTGAAAAATCAAATCTTGTCTCAGTTTTCATGAAAGCAGTTCCGTCTCTTACGTAACTATTGAGGTAGGGTTGTGAAATTTGCAGGAGGAAAGGAGGTGCTGTATATCACGTCAATCACGTATGAAACGGGGGTATTCCATTAAAAGTGAGGCAAAATTCGATCTCCCAGAACTGAAAAATATAAAAAACCAGTGAACTGGACGTGATTTTCAACCTACCTTACCTCCTAATATCATTTTCCGGAAATGTGGTGGTTCCATGGCTGTTGGCGAGCAGTGTATCCCACTGAAGATAACTTCACTGTTCACTGGGTTAAAGTGTGTATTTTCAGTATACCTCTCGCTCCTGCGAATTTCAGAATCCTAACTCAAGAATTATCAGAGAAACAATGACGTTGCCATGAGAAGTGAGACACACTGTATATGAGTACCGTTAGGCCCTCCGCACACGGGTCGTTTGGCGACATGGGCTACTCGATTCGAATCGTACGACGGTTTCCCCTCTACTCGACTTCCTAAGCAAAGCATCTGGATCCCGCACACGGGTCGTTTAGTGGTCGTCTAGAAACGTACCATTTAAGATCTCCTCGTTTTCAGTCTCACGCGATTAGCAAGGAAGCAGTTTGATCGAGTGAATCTTGCGTCTCAATTGAGAAAGTTGTTCAATAATTTTTCAATCATTGTGGATATTTGTGTTACCTACCTTAGTTCTTTACTTTCAGTAACTAGAACATATAATCTTATGTTTCCAATTTATACTCTCAACTTTAGGAACTGTTTGATTTTTTGAAATATATGAATCTCACATCAATGTTATTAGTATGTGTTCTTCTTCGCTGACACATTCCCTCATATTTGAATCCATATAATTTATGGCTGGAACAAGAGTTTCCACTAAATCAATATATGATTCCTTCGACATTCTATAAAATGCCAGAAATTTTGTGTCACTCTCTTGCATTCCACGTGCAGCAACAAAAAGTCGAGTGTGAAAATTTCGTGCAATGTACGGGATGCACCCATAAACTTCGTTGTCTTCTTCTCCTCCTGATCTGCCGGTGCCACAAAAACATGAATATGTCCTCCCCGCCATTGGAACTGCTCATTTTTAGCGAAACATTTCTTTTTCATGTTGCAAAAAATCTAAGTTGATCAGACGCGAGTCGACTACACAAAACGTCGATCCATATGCGGATGACACACACCCCCGTTTCTTGAATCGTACGAATGCAGAAATTGTGACGTCATTGCAATCGCGTCGCCCATGTCGCCGATCGACCCGCGTGTGCGGAGGGCCTTAGAATATTCATCGACCGTGCAATGCAAATTCCTCGGCAAATTCAATGCCCTCTATTGTTTGTTTTTGGGCGATAACTGCGGCTTCAAAGGCCGTATAAAATGAATTTTGAGTTGAATGGAATAAGGCAGCGATCTACATTTCCGCATTGATTTGAAAGGAGAAATATCCAGGGAAATAAACTTAATGCCTGTGATTCAATTATATGGATGATGGCTCAGTGATCTGGATTACCGGATGTAGAATTGTTTGGAAATAAGTGGGGTGAATACCTAGGGGAAATTTTAAAAATAACCACGTAGAAAGGAGGCCACGGTTCAATCAACATCGTACCACATCTCGTATAATCGTCAAATACAGTGTCATTCATTAAGTCGGCATGATATGGGAAATATTTTTAATAATAATTCATTTCGGAATTCGATTCAGACGTAGAGTTTTTCTTTAAAATTGATGAAAAATCACCTATTCGGTGACTGTCGCTGAAAATATGCTTATTTGATCGAATATCAGGAAAGTTCACACAGAAAAGTAGTTTCTATTCCAATTTTACACATCTATCGGGAATTTGAAAGTTTCATTGCAACTTTGCGATCTTGATATTTTTTGATTGCTTCTAATTGCAATTTTGACAAAACTTTCCCAAACTTTGGTTAGATACCTGAAGTTGTTCTATGATACTATGATAGATAACTCTGGCATCTACTAGAACTGGATAGTTTTTTTTTGTGTTATTTTTCCATTTCATAGAAATTGGAAAATTATCAGGAACTAAGAAATTTTATGATATCTAATCTCAAAATATGAAGATTTTTTCCCAAACCTTTTCGAAGGAAGTATTACATTGGAGAATCGAACAATTCTGAATCAGCTATTCCGCAAGTGGTATTGAATGTCGATAGGATTAATCAGTCGTGCCCCTGTCGTACGCCTTTGCTAGTAGCGATAAACGTGTATTTGACATAATTTATATATAGTTGAGAGTTCTGGGAAAAAAAGTTTCGAAATTAAATCTAGGTTATTTGGGTTGAATCTTCAAATTTTCAGTTCAGAATTCTGTAGTTGATATACAAGTGATGTTATTTTATTATGAACTGACATATTTCACTTGAACCGTATCGAATTAGTTAACATCCACTTTTTATCTAATCGAAGTCTTCCGAAAGAACGCATATTAAGTTATTCACTTCAGTTCTAGTGAATTATTTTTTATCATCATATATAATTTTGAATTCCAAATTTGCAACATACCAAGATCATCTTTACGAAAATCAGTTCAGAAACAAGGTTTTTGATTTTATTGGTTGATGTCATAGTTCGATTATGAAGAGAGTTTTTTCATTATTAACTTTCAATATCAAACTCGGTTGAGGTAAGAGAAACGTAATATACAAGTTGATAGGCACAACATACAAAAACTTCACAATTTTTTCAAATCAAGATCGAATGCACGACGTGATGAATATAATTAATAGGTATATATATATTTATATCATATGTATAGAATAACGAATAACGACATATCATGAGCTTGTTATAATATACCAGCATGGTGAAAAAAATTATCTTATATTAATATATTCTTCCAAGAAAAATGGAGGCCACAGAGCAAAAATTACAGATGAACTCTTGTCTTCCAAAGTTGTAAGAGAATAAGATTTGAGTAATTTCTTTCGGAATATTCATTCCCACATTCAATACTAACATGGATCCAGATTCTATCAGTATCATACTTATTTTAAACAGAATCATTCAAAATCAATGTAGATTCACAATTCACACTCTTCAAGTAGTTATGCATCTTTATACTCTAAGAACATTTTCACCCAATATAAATTGATGACAATTTCAATATATCAGAATAGTTTACAAGCTTGTTTTCAGTGATTGGTATTGTTTCGAATATGTTTATTCATACATATTAAAATCTGAAGAGTGATCGATAAATGAGATATTGTTCGAAATATATCTCATTGGAAAATTATAGAAAATCATCAATATTTGGCTCTGTATCTATTGATCACTGACCAAGAGGGTAACAACATCAGAAAAAATTTTGCAGACCCACTACTCTTCTACCTATCTATTGCTATTCTATCCTTTCGTGAGCACCTTCAAAAGACTAAAACAATATATCGATGTAATAAATTGGAATTCATTAGGCATTGAACATTTTGAGTCTTATATAATACAAATAGCGAGCGCTTGGTTGATTATGTTTCTCCTGTGAATTTCGAAATTACATTTGTTCCAGAATAAATGTGAAAGCTATACCAAAAGGGTCCAATGTCTGCGTCATCCGGGCGACATTTACCTATATATTTGGTATATGGTATATATGCTCACCTCAACTGATTTGCCACCTGCCAAAGTCCGTTCTACGTTAATGATTATTGGCAGTTACCCATTTGCAAAAAACTGAGTAGGTAAGCACGGATTATGCGATTGAAAGTAATAGGAATATAGGTATGTGATATTGAAGAATCATGTAACAACGGGAATTGTTCAATTCAAGCCTATACCAAAGTCTTTATACCATCTTGGTCTTCATATAGTAACTATTTATCTCAGTATGGTACGCAACAATTTTCAATACTAAACCATGCTGGTTATTTGACGGAGTAAACAGTTCAAACCCACTGACTATTTAGTGGAATGTTCGGTCTTGTTTGCTTAGTAGAATTTTCGAACATGGCTGTAGGGTGTCTATAGCTGACTTTCATTCTACCCCCAATTGTCACAAAACTTTTTCAGTGTTCGCTCGAAAGTGTTGGGTGTACCGCTACTATAAAATCGAGAATAATGAAGACACAATTATTGCTAGCAAATGAACAGTCGTCGATCTCAGATCGAAAGATCAGCTTTTATTCCGATATCCAGCAAGCCTGCCTCGATGTGTTGGGACAAAGGAGCATCTTCTGCAATGTTTGGATGCGTGTAGCCTGTCAGAAAGTGACAAGTGCCAGGGATGTCTGATGGGAAGTCTTTGGGCAGACAGCTCTGGTCACGTTGCTCGCTGGAAAAACCGCCGGCACGAAAGAGCCGCCTGAAACAGGAATACAAGAGGAGATATCACTCACCTGTGAAATTTTACAATACAGTTGTTGGGTTTTATCGATACTCAAATTATTATGTTATGCTCATTCCAAAATTCCTATCAGAAGCCATATTAGACCAGGAGTGTGTTTTGTGGCTAATTTGTTCACACTCAGCAGTATAAGAACCCCCCAAATTCCACCTTCTGCTACACGTTGATGAGGTCTCGAGGGGGAAGTTGTATTGAAAAACCCATGGTCTCGAATCATAACTTCCCGTTCGGCGAAGGTCGTGAGTTACTGTGATTGAACAAAAAAAAGTTTGGGCGCACGGCTTTGCCGAACGTGTATAGAATGGAAACGATGTGCAGTGGAACTGTATATTGTTGTCTTCATTGTTTCAATTGGAAGTAATCTTTTTTTTTTTTGGATCTTTCTTTTATTTTATTCAGACCAGGGAAGAGTCCCTCTTATCCTGATATCTATTATGGAACAAAATAAAAACGGTATTGAAGTTTGATGCGAACAGCCCTTCTGTCCCAAATAAGTTTCAGAAATACATTCTGAGAATTGAAAGAGATCGAATGGAATACATAAATATCATAAACTTGAGAATAGTAAATTTGGTCATAATGTCTATATTTTCCCTAGTTTATGGACAATCTCGGTCTTTTGAACTTTGATTGATCACCTGGGTCATAATCAACTGCATTTCGAAGAAGCTGATTCTCATGAACCTCAGCTTTTTCGAAAGTCTTGATGTTTCGTTCTTTAATGACTGACACGATTGATGGGAGTTTCAGATCCCTGGCGATCTGGTTATTCCGAACATACCAAGGAGATCCTGTCACCATTCTCGCGATTTTGTTTTGTAATGTTTGTAATCTGGTGATATGAGATTTAGCTGTGTGGCCCCAGACTACTGAGGCATACAGTAAAATTGGCCTGATAGCCATGATATAAATATTCAATTTTTGTCTCAAACCCAATTTACTTCGTCTGTTTGGAAATGGATACAGGGCTCCAATGGCTCGTTTAGCTTTAGAAACTTGCTGTTCAATGTGCTGGGCCCAGGTGAGCTTTTTGTCAATGCACACACCTAAGTATTCAACTTGTGAAGACCACTCTAACTCATGACCATCCAGGACTATTCTGGTTCTGGGAGGCCTCCGCTCCCTTCCGAGTGCGACCAATTGTGTTTTTGTAGGATTTAATTTGATCTTCCATCTTAGGAAGTACTCCTGAAGAGAATTCAGTGCGCTTTGGAGGTTCATAGCTGCTTGCTCGAAATTTGTCGAATATGCAAGAACTGCCGTATCATCAGCAAAAAGCGATATCTTGCACATCACTGGTCTTGGCAAATCGCTAATATATAAACTGTACAACAGCGGAGATAAAACTGCACCCTGAGGAACACCAGCTTCAATGGGCTTGATACCAGATCGTTGATCATCAAGTTTTACTTGAAAAGTTCGATTTTTCAGAAATGAACACATCAACTGAATCAAATCGTCAGGAAAGCCCATATCGATCATTTTGTATAAGATACCATCATGCCACACCTTGTCAAATGCTTTCGCTATGTCAAGGAGAGCAAGATGGGTCTTTTGTCTATCATTTCTCAACGATATTGTGTTCTCAATGAGTCTCAAGACTTGTAGTTCAGTTGAGTGGCCAGTTCTAAAACCGAACTGCTCATCTGGTATAAGCCCGTTGTCGTCGATAAATTCCTGTAATCTCTGTTTAATCACTCGCTCAGTTATTTTAGATGGAGAGCACAGGAGACTGATAGGACGATAGCTCTGCGGAAGAGCATTATCCTGGCCTTGCTTCTTAAGCATCACTACTTCGGCATGCTTCCATCTTTGAGGGAAATATAATAGTTTCAATATGGCGTTGATGATTTTACATAAGTAAGTGATGAAATTACCAGGAATCCTTTTCAATATTCTGTTTGTAATTCCATCATTACCTGGAGCTTTCCTGAGTTTTTGTGCTTTGATGTAGCCGATTATTTCATCCGTAGAGGCAGGCCTTATTCTTAAATCGTGAACATCATTATTCAAATGGGCCAGGACTACTCGCTCCACAGAACCATCCCATTCCTGATCATACTCCTGCGACTCATTCAACTTGAATTGTGATACAAGTGACTCAGCAAAGACTTCAGCTTTTTCGGCAGTGCTGTACTTGACTCCGTTCTCCCCTCTTAGAGGAGGTATGACGGTTTTCTTATTCTTAACTCTTTTGATCAACTTCCAAAGATTATCAGGACCTTCATCCAAATTTTCCAGTGTGGTCTGCCATCTTGAGTTTCGGAAATTATCAATCTCAGTTCTCACGATATTACGAGCTTCGTTATATTCCAATTCATGAGGACGATAGAGAGTTCTCATGGCTCTTCGTTTTAATCTGTTTCTTTCTCTTATGAGATTTTTCAAGTAAATTGGGAATTCATTAGCTTGAAAACTGGTAATATTTGTTATATGGGTGTTATTATTCAAAGCTGTGAGAACTTTCTGTTCGAAGTCAATCACAGCACTGTCAATTTTTCGAGGAGTGTCGAGTTCCTCAGGGGGGACTTCAACATCTTCCAAATCTCGCATGAAGTGTATCCAGAAGACCTTCCTGCGTTGAAAGATTTCATCTCTTGGAACGTGATCTCCCAGCACCAGAAAAACCGGATTATGATCAGAAGTCATGGTACTAAGAGTGAATATCTCACTATACCAAGGAATATTCATCACAAGAAAAATATCCAAGACATCTGCTGAATTGTTCCCGAATTGGTAGTGAGTAGGCTCATCAGGACCGAGAACCACGTATTCAGTTCAGCAAATATGTTCGGCATTAATTTAACATCATTTTTTCAAGAAGCAGATATTATCGAGGAAACTGTACTGTGACTAGGAAGAGATTATTGGACATAGCCCTCACAAAGAGATAATCGTGTACACGTGTTTCGGGCTTTTGGCCCTCATCAGTACGGTGAAAAGAAGTGCAAAGAATAGGCAGCACTTGGTAGAAAACGAAACAACAGATAAAAGGAGTCAACAAACAGAAGTCAGCCGCACATTTGTGATTTCGGCCAGTAGACCCTACCCAATGGGCACACGTACTTTTAGTAAACGTTTAATCAACGTAGATCAGGTTGAATAGACGTTTATGGTTGAAGAATTCAACGTTCATATATGGTTGAAGAGAATAATGTAAAAACTAAACGTTTAATACACGTATTGAAAATGATATGTCCTAACGATCCATGAAACTCGTACATTTATAAAACGTTTGAGATGAACGGTTCTCCAACGCGAATCCTTCATCATTTTCTACAAATAGTAGGTGAAAAAGGTGGATAAAAAGTTATTTAATTACATTTTCCAGTCTTCATTTGACAACGTTCATTATATCTTGTTGTTGAACTATTTTTCAACTTATAGTTGAACTGCTAGCAGTTATATAACGTTTGTTCGAAACGTTTGGTATACCCTTGGAATGATCGGTTTTTCAACGTCATTCTTTCAACAAAAACTAACTGCTGGTCAGGAAATCAACGTGTTGAAAATGTTTTTCAACAACGGTTACGTAACGTTTTTTGGTAAGGTTTAATGAACTTTTAGAAATAACGATAAGGTCTCAGAGAAACAGCTAACGTCACCACGGAGGCAGCTGACCGAAATCACATTTTGTGTAGTGGAAGGTGGAATTTTTGGGATTCTTATACTGCTGAGTGTGAACAAATGAGACACAAAAACACGTTATAGGCTCTTGGTCTATATTGTAAGTCACGTGTGAGCAGTATTGAATGAAGATAATAGTGTGAGAATTCGAATTGCGGTAAAACTCAAGATTCGGTGGATGCTGAATTTTAAGTGACCATAGTGGAATCTTGTTAAGTAGGTACTTTGTTAGTGATAGCCGTTATAAATGTAATTTCGGACAAGTCACGGACTGATGAAAATTATAAATGTGACTTCTTGATCTTGGGTTTATGTATGTGAAGGCTTTGGTATTATCAATCATACCATTTTACTTGAGACCACCAATGAAATTGTGTACTTCTCATCTACATTTTCTACAACCAATAGTAAATGTATACGAACCTACTATTTTCTGAAATTGAAAATATGAATCGTAGTTTTCGATGAAGTCAATGCAGTCCAAAGTTATGGGACTAGACAATTGAATTACTTGAAAGTACATTCAAGTCCAATACTGGTTTCTTTTCACGATCAGAATGATCTACTTTCTGATCTAGCTAAGATATACTGATTTTCTTGGGGCGCACGAACGGAAATTCCTATAATGTCTATAGAACATCGAGCGTTACTAAGGGAGATAAGTAGACGTGGTTGGTATTTAAATTTTTTCGAACTTCCAGAGATTATGAGTTATTGGGAAAATATTCCCTTTGGCATAGATTTCCATAGCTTCGCCGTTCTATAGATGAATGAGGAAAATCCGTAGGTACATACACTCCACGAGACACTTTGGTAAAAGTTCGATGTTTGACTGATGGACTCGTATGACGTTAATCAAATGATCTCGATTCCAAAGCTTACTGCTATTCACAGAGTTTTCAAACTTGCAATAATACCATTGGATCTCAAGATCAACATGGCGCATTGTTGGAGTAACATACATCAGCTATGTTAGTTTTAGTCCCAGCACTGTATTTCATGTCGGTATCACGTTTTTGTCAGTGTAATCGCTCTCTAGGCTCCTATTACCGTGAATAACCATGGTAAATCAAATAACTCTTTTCATCTCTACTTGCATGGGACATCGGGAACATTATAGCTCGGTTAACCTAGGTCGCAGGTGCTATGCCTGGTCCACGGCAATCAGGGAGAATCCCTTAATCCCAACGACCTCATTATAGCACTTACAGGAACGTCGTGGGACTAATATTTATCCGGAGCGGCTCGCTGCCCGATTCGAATTTGTTTGCCACGGTGACGTTGTGGCCGAACATGCAGTAGCGGGGCATCTTGACGCCCACCACGCCGGACAGAACTGAGCCCGTGTGAAGGCCGATCCGCATCTGCAAGCAAAAAATAATAATAATAATAATAATAATAATAATAATAATAATAATAATAATAATAATAATAATAATAATAATACATTTATTATCCACAAAATATTTGAATAGTACAGGGTACGTAATATAACAGAATTCAAGTGGATAAATGGCTATAACTGGTTCAGTTGTGGACTAATCCACCCCTGTTCTTCCACCAGTGCCAGTGAAATTGAAGAAAGAAATTTGAGAAGCAAATGATGATTTAAATGTAAAGGACCCACAGGGAGGAGTATTATCGCCCCTACTATGGGCCATTCTAATGGACGAACTGATCAAAAGGCTAACATCCAAAGGGTATTATTGCTTAGGATATGCCGACGACCTGGCGGTTATCGCTAGAGGTTGATTCGCAAGTACGGTCTCGGAGCTCACACAAATCGCTCTAAACATAATTGACAATTGGTGTAAAGAGGAGGAACTCACCGTGAACCCTCATAAAACCACTATAGTGAATTTCACGAAAAAGAGAGTACTGGAAGGATTAAAGTCACCAGTACTCAACGGGGTAGAAATTCCGTTCGCCCTAGAGGCAAAATACTTAGGAGTCATCTTTGACCATAAGTTAACATGGAATCAACACCTACAAAAAATTTTTCGAAAATGTACAGTAGCCTTCAATCTGTGCAGACGAATGTGCGGAAAAAATTGTGGACTGCAACCAAAAATGACCACATGCCAGCGTCATCAGGCCTATGATAGCATATGGGTCAGTAGTTTGGTGGCCAAAGACACAACAGGCTGGAGTGATTCGAAGGCTCAGTGCTATTCAAAGGCAAGCTTGCCTGAGTGCCACTGGTGCAATGAAAACCACTCCAACAGCCGCTTTAGAGGTCCTCTTGAACCTACCACCACTACAAATATATATTCAAGGCGAAGCCAGAGCAGTCGTGAGTAGATTGTCAAGGGGTCAAGCACCCATAAGCAACGCGCACGGTAAAGACTATAGAAAGCTATATGACGAGTTGGAAAGCGACCCCATCATGGGAATGCCAACGGATGGCATAATTCCAGAATATAGCTTTGAAAAAACTTTTAAAATAAGCATAACGGACAGAGAGGCATGGAAGGAAGGACCTCCTATCAATGCAGACATTGCTGTCTATACGGACGGCTCCAAAACTGAGTTTGGATCAGGAGCTGGTATTTATGGGGCCAAGCCAAAGACAAGAATCTCACTGAGCTTAGGTAAATAGGCGACGGTGTTTCAGGCAGAAATTATTGCAATACATCATTGCGTGAAAGAATTGATAAGGCAAGAGTTTAAAGGCAAAACCATTGCAATCTATTCAGATAGCCAGGCGGCAATCAAAGCAGTCAACTCTATGCAAGTTAACTCACTGGGTAGTCAGAACAGACTGACTCTAGCATGGGTACCAGCACATACAGGGTACGAGGGCAATGAAGAGGCAGACTCACTTGCCCGAGCAGGAGCAAACAAAGCTCTGAATGGCCCAGAACCCTTCTGTGGTATTGCAAAAGCTATACAAAAGACTAGTATCAAATCATGAATGCAAACCAAATCTCAAGAATGGTGGAACAAATCGCCAGGAATGAGACAGGCAAAAGAGTTTATTAAAAAACCATCGCCAACATTCACATAATATCTACTAAGCCAGAAACGAAGTTCAACTAAAATACTAGTGGGACTTCTCACAGGGCATTGTAGGCTCAACAAACACATGAGTACGATAGGTCTGACTGAAGAACTGCTGTGCAGGTTCTGTCAGGAAGAGGAGGAAACAGCAGTACACATACTTTGCCACTGTGAGGGCTTGTCAAGACTAAGGTTCCTTACGCTGGGTGAGGAAAAACCAGAAGCCCAGAGATACACAGGGGATCTGAAAGCTAGCCTATGGAGTCTCATAGAGAAGACGGGGCTAGCCGAAGAACTCTAATCGATTTTGAGGGCAGACACAATAGATCTGAAAAGGTCGCGGTGTGGAGGCAGATAGCCCGAAGGCCCCATTCTAAATCTAATCTAATCTAAATGTAAAGAAACGATATTTTGAAAGAAAATGATAGGAACCAAGAGGGAGAGGAAAAAAGTAGAGAGAAGGAAAAAAGGAAAAAGATAGGGAAAGTGAGTAACAACATAGATTAGTTGATTTGTAAGATCATTTCTGCGTGGACAAAAGATACTTTTTATATTTAACTTTAAATGATTCGGTAGAAGATGATAGCAGTGAAGGATCTAATCTGTGCAGATTGTTGATACAGACTGCCAAACCATAAGAGAACGAGCGTTTATAAATAATTTTTTCATGTCTCGGCACACGAAGAATGGTTTTTTGTCGGATATTCAGATTATGAACATCTGTTCTGAAAGTGAGTCTGTTATGTAAATAGGGGGGTGTTTTGAAAGTGTAGATTGTATGGGCCAAACATGCAAAATGTAGAGTTCGACGGTTGTACATATTCAGCCATTTCATTTCCTTAAATTTTCCTGAGATGTGGTGATATTTTCTTATTCCGTAAACCAATCGAACACATGAATTTTGAAGCTTCTGAATACGTCTAGAATCATTACTGTCTAAGCAGGGACCATACACGACATCGCAATGATTGAAATGTGATAGTACAAGCGAGTCACATAACATTTTTTTAATTTCACACGATAGGAATTGCCGTTGGGAATAAATCATTTTCAGTAAGGCATATGCAATTCTTAGTTTGGAGGATATATGTTCTTTGAACCTCAATTTGTTGTCCAGGACTAGACCTAAGTTTTTGCAATGAGTTTCAACTGGAATTGAGGTACCAACAATCTCAAGTAATACTCTAGCCGTGATAAGTGCTAAGGTATTGTCACTACAAAATATGAGCGCTTTCGATTTTAAGGGGTTTATTTTCAGACAGTGGCTGCGCGAGATATTGGATAATTCTTCGAGATCTCTGTTGATGCACTGGATTGCTTCCAGTCGTGTATCAGAATATTGAAATGGAAAATATAGCTGCGTGTCATCAGCATAAAGGTGATAGTCACAAAATTTGAGCGAATCAGGAAAGAGTGATGTATACAAAGTGAAGAATAGTGGACCAAGAATACTATCCTGTGGCAAGCCGCAAGTAATACCCTGAGGCGTAGATTTATGAGTACCGATTTGTACTATTTGTTTTCGGCCCTCCAGATATGACGAGAGAAGGGAACATGCTGTTTCACTGAAATGGAAGTATTCAAACATCGCTGCTAGAATATCATGATTCAACATATCGAAGGCCTTAGAAAAATCTAACAATACCAGTACAGATATTTTTCCATCGTTAATTGTTTTCAATAAATTGTCAACGACTTCTGCAAGTGCCGTGGCGCAGCTATAACCCTTTCTGAAACCGGATTGCTTGATGGGTAGAATATTATTATTATTAACGAAGTCTCTAATTTGAGATTCTATAACTCGCTCAAAGACTTTCGAAATAACCGGTAAGATACTAATTTGTCTCAGATCACTATACTCTTTGGGAGAACTTACTTTAGGCAGTGGAATCAACTTAGCAAATTTCCATTCAGTTGGAAAATATCCAATTAAAAAACACACATTAATAATGTGGACAATGATTGGAACAATCAGGGGACAGCATAACCTTATAATAGTGATATTGAGTTCATCAGTTCCGAAGGCTCCACTACTAATGTTGTTTATAATATCAATTATAGTTTCTTCATTTACTATCTGAAATATAAATTCGTTCTCAATATCGTGTTTTTTATCGTTCTTATAAAAATCAAGTAATTTTTTGTCGACTGGTATGTCCCTTGTAACGTTAATGGAAAAGTTATTTATCTCCTCGACGGAATTCATATGTGAAGGAATTTCAGCCCGACTTTTTTTGGATATGTTGAGTTTTTTCAGTTCTGACCATTTATCTCTAGCGCTGCAGTTATGTAATTTGAAATTCAGATATGCCTTCTTTTCGGATTTTATGGCACTAGTGGTATAGTTCCTTAGTTGCTTGTAATATGTCCAATGTTTAGGAAGCTGAGTTCTTCTGAATTTTTGTAGGGATTTGTCTCGGTACTTCTGCATAATTTTTATGTTCTCTGTTATCCAGGGTGAGTAACTAGTTTGTTTTTGTGACACTGACCTAATGGGAGCATGTTTGTCTAGAACATTCAGTATATTGTGATTCAAAAGAGAAATTTTCACATCAATATTGTCTGTCTCGTAAATGAGATTCCATGGTTGTAACTGAAGGTCAGTTTGAAAATATTCTTGCACAATATCACAAAGAGATCTATATGTTAGAGTTTTTTTTGACTGAGCAGCAGTAGATTCCGAGTTAATTTTACAATTGATCGAAGAGTGATCAGCTATCATGTCACTCCCGACCGTTTCGTAGCAGTGCTGAGTATCGAAATTTGTTATAAACAAGTCTAGTAAATAAGTTGGCGAAGGAATAAACTTTAGATCGCATGACAGTAGTGAACTTAGGAGGCCACTGGCCCGGATAGATGGGATGTGACTATTGTTTCCCAATATACAGGGTGTCCCGAAACTAAATAGAAAGATTTCAACCACAGATTCTAGCAACAAAAATAGCGAATAAAGTTCATATATGAACATGGTTTTTTGTGAATATTTCCGACACCCTATGTGTTGAGATAACGAAATTTTGTACATATATGTATTCATCGGGAAAACAACCTCCAAACATAACGCCAATTGATATTCATATGCCCGAGATTACCTTTCGCCAACGTACTATAAGGAAGATTTTATTGAGTCTCAACACCAACATAGCTTGTGGCTCCGACGGAATCCCACCGACTGTCCTCAAGAAATGTGCTCCCATAAAAACACCTGTTCTCCGCAAATTGTTCAACTACTCTTACAAATTGGGAATATTCTCGTCCAATTGGAAAAGAGTACAAACAGTTCCTGAAAAAGGCAAAAAGACCCTACCTAGTAACTACAGACCGATCGCACTGCTATCTACTATTTCAATGGTCATGGAGAAAG